TCACACAGACAGGCATCTGAGATCGGCTCGATTTGAGAAAGGGGTAAAGATTTTAGTAGATTAACAAAAAACCACTGGGTGGATTTTTTATCATTTTAGGGTGGTTGTGTACACACACTGCCAACACACATTTCAGTTCAAACAACTTGTAAAAGTACATGTAGCATCCTATGACCCCTTTAAGTAAAATTTCATTAATGTAATGGTACTTTTACTTGAGTAGAATATTTTCGTACTCTTTCCACCTCTGCCTGTTGTATATCGGTTCACAATAATTGTGTGTAAACATACATTGTAGTCTTAACCACCTAATCTGTATCTTTATTAGATCCTAAATTTATCAAATATATATCTGTAAATGTACAATACCATTTAAATGTTTGGAGTTAGTAAGTTTTTTTTTCAGCAACTTTTATTCAGCAAGGACACATTAAATTGATCAAAGGTGAGAGTAGAAACTTTCACATTGTTTAAAAAATGTCTTCAAATTTCAGATAAATGCTGTTCTTTTGAACTTTCTATTCATCAAAGAATACTGAGAAAAACAAAGCACAATTTCTACAAAAATATTACGCAATGTTTTCAATGCTGATAATAAGAACATTTTCTTGAGCACCAAATCAGCATTTTAGAATGATTTCTGAAAACATGAAAAAAAAAGTTTTATAATTACATTTTCAACAGTTAAAGTTGTCATAATATTTTGAAAATATTACTGTTATGACTGTATTTTGATCAAATAAATGGAGCCTTTGCTGAAAATAAGAGAAAACATTAAAACATCCAACCAACCCCAAACTTTAAACTTGATAAAACAACAATTATTTATTTTATTCTTTTTAAATAAAAAAAATTATAATTTAAAATGATAATTTGGTATTGGTTGCTAATTGACAGTACAGAAATAAAGCAAAAATAAAAAATACTGTATTATTACTGTACTGTATTTTATTTAAAAATTAAAAAAATGTTTAAAACCTAAATTTACAAGACTTCAATGAGACTGAGTATATTAAAATAAATTATAATATTATTTATATGGTTAAATGTGTAAATTATATGGGATTATTAGGGGTGGTCCGATTGATCGGCTACCGATCACTATCGGCCGATAATCGCTTTGGGCGAGCTGTCTGCACGGTGCACAGTTGACACAGGAATTGTCACTTGCACAATCGAGGCAGTGTCACATCGTCACTAAAGTTTATAAATTGCATTACTTTTTAATTCTTGCCAGTGTTTAACCATTCAGCGCTCGCACGCTCTCCTGGAGACAGTGCGCTCATGCACACTCGCAGCGCACACACATAATGCCAGGTTCACATTACTCCGTTTGCAGTGCGTATGTGGTGCGTATTTTTTCCACGCTCATGTTAACGGATTAATAAAGCGAGCACACTGCAGACGGTTGCGGTCCGGCAGTGCGTTCCAGGAGCGGTGCGTCTACAGCAGTGCAGAGATCGTTTCCAGACCGAGTCTATTGCTGCAACCTGATATATTGCACTGAAAAGATTTCAGAAGTTCACCACTTGCCACTCGTACTTTCTCCTTGAGTTGTATTAAATATAAAACAAACATCAGTTTATGGTCCTAACCTTCTCTTTTGCTCGCAATTCATCAAACATCTGCTGGATCTCCAGCCTCCAGTCTTCCTGCAGGGAATGGAAAGACTCGAGCGGCATCTGAAACATGGCTGATTGCTCAATGTCCACCAGCCTTTTCAAGATACTTCCAAAAGAAGGACGTCCATGTGGGTTAGGACACCAACACTCTACATAGAGAGAGAGAGAGACATAAATAATGATGCTATGAAATAAAGAGTGGATATCTCAAAGGTCAGTGTTTCATGTGGTTCAACCATAACTGTTCTTACCTCCCAGCAGCTGTGCAAAGGCCTCAGGGCAGGTGGAGGGGATGGGAAGGGTCAACTTGTTCATGGCAACTCCATAGGCCACAGCCAAAGCATCGATTTCACGGTATGGCACCTCACCAGTCAGCAGCTCCCAGAGTAACACTCCAAAACTGACACGAAAAAGACTATAATCAGCCACAAAACCTCTAGTTAGGCCGCAAAAGATAGTCCAGAGGAGGATGGAAGCTCACCTCCACACATCGCTGCTTTTGGAGAACAGGGACAGCTTGATGACCTCGGGAGCCATCCAGGCATACGTGCCCGCTGCACTCATCTTCGTGGTGCGATGCCATTCCCGAGCAAGCCCAAAGTCTGTGATCTTCAGAGTCTTCCCGCTCAGGTCGTCTCTCTCCACAGGCTCCAGAATCAGAACTGAGGGAGGAGTGAAATGAAGAACAGAGAAACATGAAACCAAAGTAGGTTGGAGATAAATGGAGCGAATTTTGGCTCTTTGTTGATATTCCTGAATAATGAATAGAGGAAACAATACCAACTTCTTCATGTAATATCCAGTAATTAGTCTCGGTGGTGCTCATTAGAAGTCAAACCAGATTATTTGGCACGCAGAAGCTTTACACAAAGATGGCAAACAATATCCTTGATTTGCACTTAAGATAAAACTCAAGTGCAAACATGTGTAACACACGTTTGAGTCATATGACAATGACACAATGTGAGAACCACTTATGTACACAAAAACAAAACTGCATCTACAGATCATCTTAGATCAGAAATATCAAATTCATTTTAGCCTTTATAATATTAACTCTTGCTTTTTCTTTTCCACATTCCCATTCTCATATTGTTTTGCATATACAAATTCCTTTTGAAAAACTTATTCGCAACTCATTTTACTCTTCCATCTGTGACGTATTTCTAAATGAAACCGGATGTTTAACGGGAACAAAAAAATCTAGGGCAGGATTTGATGCATCAACTGAATCATAAAAAGTGACAGTACTACACTATAATGGAGTTAAATTGGACTGCTATCCTCTTGAAACACCATTGGTACCTATTTTTTTTTTTTAAAAAAAGCTTTGAAAATGCTTTTAAAGAGGTCACAATTCATGAGTTCATGCTTGATGTAAACATCAGCACGTTGTGAAATACACGTTGGCCAGAAGCGATGGTTTATAGTTAAAAATGTTTAAAATATGTGTACTTTTCTTACATAAAGCTATCATTTCATATCAGAAGACATCAATTCATGCCATAGAGATGGATTAGATTACTAAAAATCATTTTTTTTCTCCATCTAATTAAAGTCATACACATTTTGCGCAGCGTGAGAGTCAGTCAATTATAAGTGTATTACATTTTTAGGTGGAGTAACCCTTTAAAGGCCATTCGTCCATTCAAACTCTATGGTAAATCGCTACTAATTAATGTCACTTGGAAGAAACTAGCCAAATTATGCAGAAATTATTCATGTCCTAAAAACCCCTGAACAAAACAGGTAAAACTAGTGCAACCCAGATAAATTAAATATGACCCTGGACCACAAAATCAGTCATAAGGGTCGATTTTTTGAGGGTGCAAAGAAATCAAAATATTGAGAAAATTGCCTTTAAAGTTGTCCAAATTAAGTTCTTAGCAATGCATATTACTAATCAAAAATTAAGTTTTGATATATTTATGGTAGGAAATTTACAAAATATCTTCATGGAACATGATCTTTACTTAATATCTTAATGATTTTTGGCATAAATAAAAAAAATTATAATTTTGACCCATACAATGTATTGTTGGCTATTGCTACAAATATACCCATGATATTTATGACTGGTTTTGTGGTCCAGGGTCACAAATACAGTTTACATTTGTTATTGTGTTAGGTAGCCACCTGATGACGAATATAAAATTTGGATTCTGAAGCAAAAACAGTTGATAATCTGTCCTAAAACGCTACCTAAATAGCTATTTGGCTTTTGTTAATCTTATCCAATGTCCCACGTGGCCCTCATTATGTCACTCAAAAGAAAATAAGTTGTTTCAAAGGTGGACCTAGTTGCTACATTTTGACGAAAGCAGATAAATATTTTTTGTCTTTGGAATAATGAACTGTACACACCATTCAAAAAGTCTCTTATGTTCACCAAGCAGTTAAACAGTAATATTGTGAAATATTATTACAGTTTAAAATACCTGTATATTTTAAAATGCAATTTATTCCTGTGATGGTAAAGCTGAATTTTCTGCAGTGATTACTCCAGTCTTCAGTGGAGATCCTTCAGAAATCATTCTAATATACTGATTTGGTGCTCAAGAAGCATTCTTATTATCAATGTTGAAAACAGTTGTGCTGCTTAATATATGACTTTACTATTACTTTTAATAAATGTAATGTGTCCTTGCTGAATGAAAGTATTAATTTCTTTCCAAAAACAAAAAGTAAATCTTACTGACCCCCAAACATTTGAACGGTAGTGTACATAAGGGAATAAATGCAATGTATTCCGGAATGGACTAATTTGAATCATTCACAATAATACCATGTATTAAGAAAGTAAACCGGGTCAATTTTGAATGACCAGACTCAGCAAAACGGAGACTTCTTGACTTTTAGAGCGAGTTGAAGCTCTATCAAATATTTATCAGCCAGTAGCAGGTATGCAGGCAACACAGAGCACCAAAGAGAAACAAGATCTATTACACACACACACACACACACACACACACACACACGCACGCTCTCTCTTTCACGTAATTGAGGTAAAGTGCAAACTCATCTATACACAACGCAAATTTACCTTTACAACACAAGCGAGACACATGACAAGCTTTAACCTATACTCATAACAGGCACCAGTAAACAGCATGTGGCCAACAGGTTCAATATTTCACAGAAGTGGCATTGAAGGACAGAATGATCCTGGCATTGTTATTCATTGAATTCAGATCTATGTTTACTGAAACTATCAAGATCCACACACTTAGTTTATTAGAACAAGAATTATAGAAGTCAATAGGTACATAAGACAAAAAAAGGTTGGGAAACACTAGTCACGCCACATGAGATTATACAGTTGCCATAAAGACTTAAAAGAGCTCAACTAGTCTAGTTCACATTTACAAACATGAGTCACACCGGTTAGAATAAATCATTAATACAATGTGAACTATAGCTTTCTTTACAGTACTATATGTCATATGTGTGTGCGTAATATTACATTTATATATAAATATGTGAGTGTGTACTGTATGAGAGAGTGATGCTAGTCTGTGGTGCCCTGTTCTTTCCCTCCTCCCTGTATTTCCTGCTGTTTTTCCTTGTGCGGGCAGGCTATGGAAATGTTTGGAGTGTCAATAGTCAGCTGGACTGGTTTGAGTGGGGTGGGGACGGGTGGAGTGCAGCCTGCTCTTCCATTATCACCACACATATGCAAACGGGAGCAGAGAGAGAGAGAGGGACAGGAAGAGAACACAACTGAGTTTCTGTTTGACCAACACATCACAAGCTCAGGTTGAACAGGTGGAACCTTTCTCTCTTTCCCTCCAGATTATTACATTCATCAGATAGACTAATACATTATAAACTGCTGTGTCACTTTATACAATATAATAATATATTAATATTATATAATATGACATGCAGATCATTAGATAACTAGATGCACGTTATTTGTATAACTAGATGTTTTGTCAATGAAAAGAAATTATGATCATTTATTATAATGATCCTACTTACGTTTTTATTAAATAACAAAGATTACATTTAGCATTGCCTATATGCATTTACAATATATAGATAACAGAATATGAGACAGACACATGACAGACAGACAGACAGACAGACAGACAGATAGATAGATAGATAGATAGATAGATAGATAGACAGATAGATAGATTAGATAGATAGATACATAGATAGATAGATAGATAGATAGATTGCCCTATATGGAAGCCAGGGGTGTAAATAAAACCAAACTGTCTTTTAAAATAAAAATTGAAAAATAGAAGTGAAAACAATTAGTTCACATTTTTTAGAGATGTATTAACTGATCAATTCCTGCAATATTAGATGAAAAGATGACAAAATATAGCAAAAACACTGGATTTGAATGATCACTATTATTATACAATAGAAGGTTGAGTCAAGTTTACTGACAAGACAAGACTTTGTGTGTGTGTGTGTGTGTGAGATCTGATAATCATATTGGCTAAATGACTGATCTGTGTAAGTTATTTACCTGCTCAAGACTGAAAGAAAACTATTCTAAATACAATTTTTCTGTCACACTTTACAGTAAGGTTCCATTTAAATTAGTTAACAACATTAGAAAACAAGAACTACCAATGAAAAAAAAAACGTTAAAGAACTTATTAATCTCAACATTTACTAACACATTATCAAAATCAAAATTGTTTACTAATACATTATCAAAATAAAATCACATCTGTTCATATTATTTAATGGACCTGAGCTAACATCAACTAACAATGAACATGTATTTTTATTAACTAACGTTAACAAAGATCAATAAATACTGTAACAATTGCAACAACTAAAACAGATTTTTATTAATTAATGCATTATTCAATGGTAACTAATGGGACCTTATTGTAAAGTGTTACCAATATGTTTTAGTGAACTTGTTAAGCTATAATTTGATCTTTACCTGTGTGCATTTGTGTGAGTATGTGTTTCTGCCTCTGGTGTGACGTGAGATTAGGAGAATAGGAGATGGCTGCTCACAATATTAATAAGGCATTGATATATGCCTGTCTTAGTGGCCATATCACCCTGAGGGACAGTTGCCACCAGAGGGTTATGAGGGGGTGAATGTGTGTGTGCATGTCACAGAGAAAGAATATATAGATTGTGTGAATATATGTGTGGAGAGAGAGGGTGTTCATGGGAGTGAATAAAGAGGCACAAAACACATTCGTTGAACATGTCTGAGGTTGAATAAGCGAGGGTGTGTCAGTGATGGTAAATGTGTGTGTGTGTGTGTGTGTACGCTGCATATACGTGCATGTTTGTTCCAATTAACTTCTGTTGTGGTTCTTCACTAAAGGCTACTGCCGGACATTCAGGGCATGCATGAAAGTGTATGTTTATGTGTTGGGATGATATATAAGAGGACAGTCACACAGGTTTTACAACTCGTAACTGTCTAACATCAAACACTCTCAAACCAACCACCGTATATGCACAGGACATCAACCATAACTCCCATTCATAACATTGATATTTACACTTTATTCACAGTCTGTGTATCAAATTAATTAACCTGATAATGACTGATCATTCACAACATCATTTAATAATTTGTGGTTAAACCACTAAAATGTACATGAGAAATAAGATACTATGGATGGTTTTTTGAGATAATTGTCATATTTAGTGGTTATATACTGTATACAGT